CTTGCATTTGGCGGTCCACCAGCTGTAGTATTAGTCCACCAATACAGTAATCGGTTTTAGGGCTTAAATTCCTTACTATTTTAGTAAATATCAAGAAGTTTATACTATTCAATAATTTTAAAAGTTTAATATTAACATTTTTAGTCATTTTAACAATTATTGAACATAATTGAAGGTAAAGAAACTAGTTTCTGGCGTGCCATCCAGCCTGTTAACACACCAGACAGGCGTTAGTCTCTCTCTGTTTTCAGTGGAGGTAACATCTTGCTTGAGACTCTTCAACTAAAGCTTTTTTCTGTGATTTCCAAGCAAATTATTGGTCATTTTGAAATATATTTTACATATTGACAATATATAATGCAGTGCAGTGTTGATTTAAAGAAAATAATCTTGAAATACACCAAGAGAACTAAAATTTTATGGGTGAAATGGTGCCATGGGGTGACTTCTCTTCCACCCCAATGCCTTCTCTTCTTCCTTCTCCTCCACCCCCATTCTAATTCCCATCATCATCATCCAGGAGCCTTCTACATACACACTTCAAAGTAAGTGTACTTTTCTACCTTTTTTGTTGAATTTAGGCAATTTTCGGTGAGCTGGAACCAATTACCCAAAAACCCATTGAAACAATGGTTTCGGTTAACGAGCAACCTGCTGGAACGGATTGTGCTCGTTAACTGAGGGACCACTGTATTTTATTAATATTGACGTTGAAACAGTTTATTTAGCCAGAAAAATAGATACGGAGTCGATAAAAATTACAATATTGACATGACTGAGCCAATTGAGAGCCTGAACTCTCTTAACCCCTACGCCCCGGGCTAGGGTGGTGCCGGCCGTACCCCCCATGCGGGATAGAAAGAGAAAAATCTACTTTTCCCCCCAAAATTTTCCGCTTGCCTTTGTGTCCGAGATGGCAACTAATACATATATTTACTGATAAAAATACTTATTTCCTATAAATAATTCATTTACAATTTATTTATTTGCATTACTTTTCATAAAAACTGTTCGGCGACACACACCCAGTCTGTCGCCAGGCTATCTGGCTGTCTTTGTGTTTGGGAGAGCAAGTAAGTCATATAAATAATTATCGGAATAATAATTCCACAAATAAATACATTTATAACATAATCATAGCATTTTCATCCAGTAATACTACACTACAATACAACTACAGTACACTGTTTTATTAGTATTAATTTGATGCAACATGATATAAAGGAAAACAATGTAAAATAAACAAACAAAAGAAGGTACAGTACTTACCAAGAAGCTTTCCTCTGACCACACATAGGAGGAGGAGAGGTGGTGGTGGTGGTGTTGATGATGCAGGTGCTACCCTGATGCCTAGCTAGCTGTCCACCAGCGCTCATGGGTAGTGACGAGTGAATGCATACAACTGTGTACCTTTTCCACAGATCTGTCACTTGGTTCCTTACAAATACACTCGCACTACTATTTACAAGCACGCTCCACATTGTTTTAGAATGTTTTCTTTGAGTGGTATTCCACGAAGCAAGGTCTACAGATACCAACGTCACACTCCTTGCACCACGTTGTCATGTCCTTATGCTTAGCTGCACTCTTTGTGGTGTTAGTGCAGACATAACACCGCCTTTGCACCCTACGACCACCTGGAGCAGTTGGTAGGTCGTCCAGGTGGTGACGATCAATCCAGTCATGTGCAAGCAGTCTGTCAGGTAGGCCTGCTTGGCTGTGACGTCGTGGTACAGCTGCCACAATGGTGCCATATTTCTCCAGAAATTGCATTATCACTTGCTTCTGAAAAACCCTGAGAGAGGGTTTTTTCCCCGGTTTGTACAAGGTACAATTTGTATGCATTCAGAATGGTGATGTCCAAGAGGTGTAGGAACATCATCTTGTACCACTTGAGACATTTCCATACACACTCAATTGTGCCAACCTGCATGTCATTCTTGTCCACGAGGCGCATGTTGACATTGTAGTCCACGACAGCGTCGGGTTTTATCATGACGTCTCCTGTGGTCCAGTCCCTTTTTCCACTGTCAACCATTTCACCCCTGTTAACGGTTGACAGCATCTGCACTTTACGCTTATCATGCCAGCATATTGCAAGCATCTTGTCTGCTTGCTTCGGCTGGATCTCTCCTCGGGCAGGTTTACCAGGAAACACGGGCCAGTGTTTCCTGTTCTTGCGTACAGTCCCACAAGAACCAGTGTCATGTTCAAGTAGGAACTTGGCCAGGGCAGGAGAGGTATAATAAATGTCCGTGTAGAGGACGTGATTCCCTCCAAAGTAGCGGTCCATCAGTTTCTTGACAACAGCGCCAGAGAAACCATGTGGGTCATCCTTGGGTATGTCTACACCACTTGCTGTGTAAACAAAGAGATCTAAGACATATCCAGTATCGCAGTCACACAGCACAAAGAACTCGATCCCAAAGCGATTTTGTTTGGAGGGAATGTATTGTCTAAAAACAACGCGTACTCTGAAAAGCACCAGAGACTCGTCCACCACTACATTTTGAAAGGGTCTTAAAAACTTCATAAAACGTTCCTTCAGCATTGTAAAAACTTTCCTTATTTTCCAAAGTCTGTCACCAGCCTCAGGAATGTTGTTACCTGTATTTACGAAGTGTAGATAAGGTAGGATGGAGGCAAACAGGTCTCTGGACATGAATTTTCAAACAATGGAGTTGCTTTGATGTCATCAGGGAAGATATCCAATACTCCTGAAGTACATATTTTTTCACATGTGCCATCAGCATGAGTAATGCAAAAAACACATATAGTTCAGAAACAACATCACTCCATCGACGCATGTGTGGCGAGCCGAGGGGCCAGGGTCAGCATCACACGTGTAGTCGTGTACTGATAAATAATTTTTGTCTCGATACACAGTAAGCCCATGATTGCACCATCAAAGAAAGCACAAAAATAATCCATCTCACGTGATTCCTCTGTACAAGGAAATTCAGGAGTAATTTCACCTGATGATCGTCTGAATTCAGGGATTATCAGGCTGGAAATTACTGCCATCAGACCAAACAAAGGCATCTATTATCCCTTGTTTGGGTTGCGAGTGCGTGGTGGGGATACGCCGTTCTGGCTGGGCCTCGCTGCCTGCGTCGTCGTCCTCGCTTGTCTCTACAACATCGTCTAACTCGACTCCATCCTCAGGATCACTAGGCTGATAATCACTGCCTTCATCACCACTTTCATTCACTACAGCACTCACATCAAATAGTTCTGTCCGTATCTTGCTATCATCCAACCCCTGGCGACGATGCTTAATTGGGATGGAAGATGCCGGGAGCGAACGCACACGAGAACTCTCCATGACTGCAGGGGAATGGTTATTGACCGCGCTGGGACTTCCCACGCTCCCCTCCGTGTGCCGGGAGAGAAAAATAGTTATGCTGATACCTGTTAACCCGGGTTGGGCATTTAAACAGAGGCAGGAAAAAGCACGTGTTCTGGAACGTCACCTGGGGCATGCCGGTCAACCGTTTTGGAACGTTACCTGGGGCGTAAGGGTTAATGTCACCTGATATATACTGTACCTTTATCTCTAGGAAGTATTATGTAACATTTAGCATCACCTGGAATAGTACACGTAACAGGATGGTAGTAAGAACATATCAGAATGTTATCACGGTTATCACTTCGTTATTTGTTTATTTTATTTTACTTTTAACTTTTATGTATAAGTATATACATATTTTACAGTTGAGTTGATATACATTAATATGAAAAGTAAGGGAAGCAATACAACATGAAAGACAGCCTCAAGTTAAAGAAGCCAGAACATTGTCAGAATTGTGAATTGTTGTACAGTAATAACCTGCCAGGGAATGTTGTTACAGCAATGTCAACAGTGTGCTCTCCCTTTTCAAAACATTCAACCACATTTTATTTTTAAGAGAGTACATTTTCTTTGGCTCTTACTAGTAGCATCACTTGTTACTTTTTGGTCACTGCATTCACAGTGGTGAGAGTCCACTCTTTAGAGCAGGGGTCACCAAACTACGGCCCGCGGGCCGGATCCCAAGTCCTTCCCCGGCTCGTGGTAGCTCCGCCTACGCTCTGACGTTACCAGAGCTTTCGTTCTGGCTTGCAAGTATTGAACAGAATGATTATGCGGTCCGCGCTCGTCATTCTTTCAGTTATCCGGCCCACTGTGAAAAAAGTTTGGTGACCCCTGCTTTAGAGGGAAGGGGGTTAATAAAGACAAACCAAGAAACAGCAGAGAATAGCCAGTCTCTACAAAATGCATTTGTTTTGAGTTATTTTAATGGTAGTATGCCTAGATAGGTTGGAATGCACAATGCTGTATGAGTGACAAAAGAGTAATGCGGGCAGCTTGAGTGCCCCCTCAGCTGACTGTCCTAGGTTAGGTCAGCTGATAAGATATGGAAGAAATTTTTAATTTGAAAATACATTATACCGTAGTATTTTGGAAAATTGGTTATTTCCAAATATTTAGTTTCAGATTCGCTGATACTCAGGTGTACCACCATAACTTGGCATTCTCTCTCTCCTTAGGGTGTATATGGCCCTTTTGGAGTTTTCATTAATTTTTATCTAAAATCAAAATTTTTCAAAACTAACTTTGTGACCAGCATTGGAAATGCTGTATGTGAGTGTACTGTACAGTACCTCATATAGTCAGTCCCACATACACTCATACTATTCCAAGCAGTCCAGGATACACTCGATCCCAGCCATGGAACTGTAAAGTACAGCTCCTCTCCTAAAGTATTATTGTTATTATGTTTGTGAAAGTCATAATATATGGGCATTTTAATTTTCTCTGTAGTAGCTGAAATGCTGACTCATCTATATATAAATTTAATTAGACCTGTTATATATGAAATAGAGAGGCTATTCATTAATCTACAACTTCTTGTTACAGATAAGCAGTGAAATCCACTTAATGCAACTACTGTACAGTATTTTCAATATAAAGGAGTCACTCAAAAGGAATTTTGTTTTTCCCAAATCCCTCTCAACAGATCAAGAAGTGAAGCAGAGGAAAAGGAGAAGAGATCACGCAGAGACAAAGAACGAAGAGAAAAGGAGAGACGGGATGATGGATCAAATCGCCGGGATTATAGGAGGGATCGTGATAAATCTTCTTCAGCCCTTGAGAGGTCCAGATCTAAAGCTGAGGAACGGGAACGTATGGAACGCAGCCGTGAGAGGAGCCGTGAAAGAAAAGAAAAAGAAAGAATTATGAGAGAAAAGGTAGGTTTTTATAGTACCGGTAGTTTTACAAATAATCATAACTAACCTAAGTAACATAAACTGTAATTACTACTATATATTTAGAAAGTTAATTTCCTTATTTAGAGCACTACCAGTCAGAATCATACACATGTACCAAAATTATTTCTGGTAGTGACTACCACATTTGCTGACATTCTTCCTGGCTGTCATACCAAATATGGTTTGCTAAGGTGTTGTCCTTCCACAATAAGACTGCATTATATCCATTTGAATTACTAGTTGCAACAAGTATCACTCCACCATTACTGTTGTGTACTACATCTCTCACTGTTCTCATCTGGTGCACTTCCTTTTTTATATTTCCTCATAAAAATAATCACAAACCACTTCACTTTGATGTTCAAAGTCTAAACATATACTACAGTTATGGATGCATACCAGTATGTGTTGGAAGTGCAGTACATATAAGAAACAGTGGCACTTGTGGTTGCACATATTCCCTCATTTAAACCTAGAACTACAAGTTTTCCTAATATTTCACCCCCTCCTTTTTACTATCCATTCCTTCTGAACATCCTTAACAAATGGTTCCTACCATATGCTACTGTATGTCCTCTCTGTTGTGCTTTGTTCTCACTCTGAAACAAATAAATTTCGTTTTTGGTAGTCATTGCCTGGTGTGCACACAATAAAATAATTCAATTCATTTTCACCCTTACCAAAGTGTACAGCTAATACTCTAGAACACGGAAAGTTACCGGTACATTTTACCTCTTCCTATTGTGCTCTGTTGATATCATTCATCCTTTAATTTTTTTTCCAGATGATGCAAGAGCAAGAACAGAGAGAGCGTGAATTTAAGGAAAGGGAAGAGCGCCGGAAGAGAGAGTGGGAGAAAAGGATGGAAGAACGGAAAGAGAGGGAGAGGTTACGCGAAGAGCGGTTAAGGGAGCGAGGAGACAGTAGAGACAAAGACAGAGACCGGCGCAGAGATGACAACTTCAGAGATAGAGACAGAGACAGGGATAGGGACAGGAGGTGAGCTGTTGCTGTGACCTACTTGTGTGTACTGTATAGCCATCTCTTCATATTTATTTATACAGTATAGACTATTTAAATAATGAAACAGTATTATGATTAAGATAATAGGAATATTTTAAATTCCATATAGTATAAACCAAACCTTTTCTTTATGAATGTAAGGTATTAGAGTGAATATGTAAACATATTTATATACAGTACTTGCATTACTGTCCATTATATAGAGATAGAAGTAATATGCATTAATTTATTCAACAGACAAGAGGCTGACTATTGCCGCAGCCGAGAAATGGATCGTGAACGGGAGAGACAAAAAGAAATTATATTTGGTAAAGCCAAAGAATCCTCTTCTGACTCTGAACAAGGAGACATTGACTTTGATGAAGATGAAGAGGAGGAGGAGCAGAAGATTGAACGAATGAGGAAACAGCGAGAGGAGTTGTATAAGGTAAGTACTTTGCTTAGTGTACAAATACTGTACAGTACCTGTACCTCTTTTGTTAATCTCTGTATTTTATCCTAAACTGTTTAAATTATTACATTAAATTCATAATCGTTGCATAATGAGAATCATATACACTTTTCATTATTAGAGAAACTTTGTGTTAAACTTAAAATACAATAATCAAAACACAATACGTAGAGGTATCCCCCACGTTACAGAAATTCGCCCATACAAAATTTGTAAATAATGACAAACTCGTGATACGGCTCGTAAATTTGACTTGACGGAAATGGGGTAAATTTTCATCACAAAAATCGTGATATAGAAAAAAATTTAATGAATAAAATTAAATATTTGGTGTGGATTTCTTGGTGTTTACTACCACCAAACGTGGGTACATCGGTATACTCAAGCATGACAATACTATTGAGAATTAATACAACTGTAATCAAGTAATCTATTTGAACAATGAATATTGAAAGGCTGTAAATGGGCATTATATTGAATAGGGATGAAAAGATCTGAAAGATTGTTGAAAACTAAAAACTAAGGGATTAATACTTCAGTTATCCATATAATACATGAAACCGAGATAGGTGCTCGGAGATTTAAATTGTAAAGTTAACGTAAAGGGAGTATGGTTAAGATGCATTGATGATGAAACTTGCTACAAAACTGAAGAACCCAGGTGGAAACAGGTTGGAATTCCAAGCGAGATAAATCAGGAATGATTAAAGAATATTTAGAAAACACAAGTAGCATTTACCATACTACAGTATATAATATCCCCCCTCCCCTCCAGAAATTGGGTCTAGAGCGTGACTCGTCACAAGTGACTCCTGCCAGTAGTGAGATCCCATCCATCAGCAACACTCCCAGAGATTCTCCGGTTCCTACATCAAGGTAATTTTTTTTTTCCAGATAGATATTATTGAACGAACGGTTGAAAGAAGATGGAGTTGGACTGTTTTACTAGTTGGTTGAGTGGAAATCAGATGTAGATCTGGTTTTGTTGATAGCAAGGAAGTAAGAGAAGACTAGGTACATATGAAGAGAGAGTATCTAATTGAAAAAAAAATAAAAATAAAATATATATATTATATATATACTGTAATATATATATATATATATATATATATATATATATATATATATATATATATATATATATATATATATATATATATATATATATATATATATATATATATATATATATATATATATATATATATATATATATATATATATATATATATATATATATATATATATATATATATATATATATATATATATATATATATATATATATATATATATATATATATATATATATATATATATATATATACTGGGAGGTAGTAGATATAGAAGAAAATGAAAGAATAGAATACGTATAAAAAGGACAGGATAGAATATGTATGAAGGGGACTTAACAGTAAAAGAAATAGTGCAAAGCTTTTATGATAGGATTATACGAATGAGATTAAATGAGGCCTTCCTGGTGTGTGTGTGTGCAGTGGACACAGTTCTGTATATGGAATGCTTGTATTCACAAAATTTCCATGGTAATACAATGTGATCTCTTGTGTAAATAAGAAAAATTCTTCAAAATAATATGTGATCTTTTTTCTTTAATTGTAGACCGCCGTCACAAATGAAATCAGAGGAGCCACCAGCATCCCCTGCAAAATCAAGATCGAGGTCTGGTTCTCCACAGTCTCGTGCCTCCAGTAGTGCCAGCAGCACCAGGAGAAGGAGTAGGAGCAGTAGCAGGAGAAGCAAGAGTGGTAGCACTAGTAGGAACAGTAGTAAGAGTAGAAGTAGTGAAGATAAGGAAAATCAAACCACAAAACCAGCTGATGATAAAAGTGAAAAGACAGAATTAGAAACAGATACCAAGGAAGATGAAGATGACGGTATTCCAGAAAAGGAAAAGAGAAATAAGGACATGTTTTCTGATATGTTTGGTGACAATTTTGCAGTGGACAAACTAGATATTCACTCCGGGGCTGCTGAGAACCCCAACCTCACAGACAACTGGGATGATGCAGAGGGCTATTACCGTGTTCGTATTGGAGAAGTACTTGACTCGAGGTTAGTAAGCAGGGTTTTTTGTAGACATTGACTGTAACATAATGAACAAGTACAAACTAGTTACTATAAACTGTGCCAACATTGAAAATTCTCTATCTGTGAGTGAGTGCCAATTTTTCTTCATCAGGGAGGAAGTAAGTAACAGTCACTTTCTCTATAAACACTCTTACAAACTCATTCACTGACATTTTAAACTTTTTGGAATCATTCATTAAAGTAATGTCATATACAAACAGCAGATTTTTTTACTCCCTTATTATTTCTATCAAACTTGCATCTTACTCTTTACTATTTCTACTCTGAAAATATAAAACAACCATGGAAACGGTACACACCTTTGATATATTCCTTGTTTCACTCAGAAAAAGCTTTTTCTCTTCATGACATTAATATGCTTCATTCTCTTGATCAAAACAAGACAGCACTCTACAAATTCCCATTTATCCCAGACTTATAAATAAATTTTCAATGCTTCCTCCCATCAGTGTCGTATACTTTTTTCACTCCATGTGCAAACACTTGATTCATACACTTTCCTTTTCTTAGCCACACTCCTGTATTGTACTCTCGTTTCTGCAACAGTTCTATTTATGATAACTTTTACCATACACTTTCCCCTAAATACTTAAAAAAAATTCCTGCTTTTTAATAATGTTTTTATTTTTTCCTTTATTGTATGGAAACGAGGCATATTCTCTGCCATCCATCTTGTACTCTTTCTTACATTATACTGATACACTCATACCATCCATTTATCACTTTCCAGTCTCCCATCCCTAACATTGTAACAGTAAGTCTAAACACTCCCGGTGCCTTCCCATTCTTAAGCTTGTGTACAACATTTCCCCTCTCTCAGACTTAACATTTCTTGCTCTGTCACTTAGACACTTAGTTCCTCCAATTCTCAACTTGATAACACCACCTTTTTTGCTTCTGTTCACATAGCTAGTGTTCAAGAAATTTCCTAATCTCCCATTTGCCAGTACAGGGTACTTTCTTTTTTCCACATTAAATCCCCCTTTCATTTCAAACTGGTATTTCTATTTACTCTTTAAGTTATTCAGTTCCTTTCAGAAAGTCTTGTTCCTTTTAAGTTTTGTGACATCCTTTCTCCATCGTTCATTCAGTTGTACATTGCATTCTTTTTACTTTCCTTTTACCATCTCCAGGGCCACTGAGAGCTGGCCAGGGCCCCAGGGAAGGATAAATTTATGGGCCCCCTTTTGGTCTTTGGAAGGTTTTGATTCATAATTTAATCTACCCTTTTCCCGTCCCCCAGGATTTATCCCGGCTTCCTTGCCCTATCGGCAGCCCTGACCATCCCTTCTACCCTCACACTCCTTACTGCTGCTGTCACTCATATTCTCTCTTCATCACCTTAACTAGCACCTCCAAATTATTATGCCATCATTCTTTTCAGAATGTTGTTCATGGCTGTTCTTTAGTGCTTAAACAACTTGGCTACACTTTTGTGGACAGCCCTCTTAATCTTTAACTTTTCAACCCCTCCCTCTTCACCCCATTTATTTTTCTTTACAGATACACTGTGTTTGGGTACACAGGCCAGGGAGTATTCAGTAATGTTGTACGTGGTAGAGATGCAGCCAGAGCCGGACAAGATGTTGCAATCAAGATCATTAGGAACAACGAAGTTATGTAAGTCTGTCATAAAACTTAGTTTCTCAATCACATTTCTCTAGGTTGTAAATTAAACTCCTACATTGTATTTATAAAGAATTGTTTGGTTTTAGATTGTATGAGAATGGGATGACGGCTGTATTTCTTGCAATGTATAAAGGATTCTTAAAGTCAATTTCTTTATTTCAGGCACAAGACAGGCAAGAAGGAATTAAATATATTGAAAACTTTAAATGATGCTGACCCAGATGACAAATACCATTGTTTGCGCCTTTTCCGACACTTTTTCCACAAGAATCATCTGTGTATGGTGTTTGAACCATTGTCTATGTCACTCAGAGAGGTATGTACCCTTTGATAAACTTAGGACTATAACAAATTAAGTTTTTGTCCTCAACAAAATGGTTTGGGATACACTGGTACAGAATAGTCATCTTTTTCTCTATTTATCTGCCTAATGGACACACTATAACTACGGAGATGCCTCAGACATGTGATATGTACATAGGACCATTAGAACCATTATTCATGGCTTACCTTAAGCTAGGGGGTTCGGTGTTTGCTTTCAATTTTTATTTTGCATTATTTCCAACTTTTTTTCCAATTGACTTTCTCCCCCACACCACCTTCTTTCTGAGACTTATGAGAGACTTTTGGCATGATATCTGTGCACAGTACAGTAAGAACTTGTTTAACATTGCCCCCCGATAATGTTGTTTCATTATAACTGCGCTATTCTTTAGATATCCATGACTCGAATAACGTCCCGCCGGTCAGTATAGCATTGTCACAGACTACTTTGTACGGCACATCATCCTCTCTCATCTTGGCGCACTACGCTCTCACCTGCGGAGCATCACTGCGTCTCCAAACGTCGCCAATCTTTGTTAAGCTACCACAGTGTTCGTGCGTGTTTAGGTATTTTTCTCTTAATACTGTACTCTAACCATTAAAATGGCTACCAAGTGCCCATGATGTTAGTATTGTGAAGAAGCAATGTAAGACCATTAGCCTTGCTACGAAAATGGAGGTTTTAAACCGGGAGGAGGATCCACCCACTGGGTCTCAGTGACTTACCACCCTCCTCCGTTCCCCATCACACACTCGCTCCACCACCTCCATCCGTCAGTGAGTACAATACAAAATGATTTAGTTTATATATATATATATATATATATATATATATATATATATATATATATATATATATATATATATATATATATATCCTGTACTATTTTCTATAAAAATGCCATTGAATTTCTGTATATGTTATGTATTTTATGGGCCAATGGGAGGCTGGGGAACGTAACTCCTGTATTTTATCTATTTCTTGTGGGGAAAATTGATTCCGTTAACGTCTCGGTTTTCAGGAACGGAGCCACGACGTTAAGTGAAGACTTACTGTAGTTAGTTGACCAAGGGGTAGACCGAGAGGTAGCAGTGAACAACTCACAAGGTGGTGGCAGGACACAGATGAGCGGATGTAAACAAACCCCACCTGCCAAGTGGCACATTTGGCACGGAATTTAATGGAATCACGCCCGATTTAATGATCTAGTTCGCTAAATCAAGCGAAAATAACGGAAATTCGATTTAGCGGAAGTTTTGATTTAACTGAAAGGAGTGGCTCAAAATAGTTGGTTAAATCGAGAAAATACTGTGTGTATATATATATATACGTATTCACAAGGCTTATGTTTATCAAAATATTAATTGCATAAATTGTAGTAAATATATGGCATTGTCACAAAACTTAATCATTACACATGTTGTCCCACACACCACTACTGCTACAAGGACCCCAAACTCTCCTGCCTTTCAGTATTCATTTATACTCATTATTTTAATTGTGAAGGCTGGGTAGAGGAGGATGAGGGAAGGTGGTGGTGTTGTGTGAGAGGTGTTTACATGATGAGACCTCTTGTTTTCTCTTTTTAATAACTTGGTGCAAATGAAGCAGGCTACTTCCCTTTAGCTATACAGTACATACAATATACTGTACTTGTAATTTACATATGCAAAATAAGATTGTCTGTGAAACTCTTTCTTACAAAAATATTATATTTTATTTTTCCTTCTAAGCTTGTTACAGTACATTAAATTATGAATATTCAACTTTTGTTAATAAATTTAAATAGGAAATTTTATTATATTATTTGTTTACTTCTTACAGGTACTCAAAAAATATGGTAAAGATGTGGGTCTGCATGTAAAAGCAGTACGTTCTTATACACATCAGTTGTTTTGTGCACTTAAGTTACTTCGCAAGTGCAATATCCTCCACGCAGATGTTAAACCTGACAACATTCTGGTGAGTGCAATATATCTATGAATTATAGCTACTATGCCTGCAATGCTCTTTTATAACTGGTTTTACACAATGATGTATTATAGTAAAGTATATCTTTCATTTTATGCATCCTTGTTATTTGATCCTCTACTGTGTATTACTCATATTTTACCACTATTAAAAAAATATTTTATTCCCATTTCCTCATACAGTATTATAATGTTGCCATGATTATTAATTATTTTCATGGGTTGGTTAGTAAGAGAGGTGAAAGGGAGATCACTGGAGTGGGGTGAAAGTTTGAAATACCTGTACTGTACTGTCGTATAAGGATACAGATATACTCACTTAAATGTAGCTTCATTAAATGTAGTTTCACTATAACATAGTTGAAAAGTTATTTATATTCTTTGCTAAATATAGTACAGGGTACAGTACTGTATTGTACCCCACTACAGTAGAACATACTTGGAAAGTATGCACCATATATCTTTGTAAAAAGTGATACAACATAACCAAAGTTACAGGGAAAATTAGATCTCTTCTTCTTAAAATCATTGTATTGAGAGTGATTTAATTGTTTTTTTCACTGTGTTATTGTATTTGCAGGTAAATGAGAAGAAACTTGTACTGAAACTTTGTGATTTCGGCTCAGCATCAAAAGTAACCGAGAATGAAATAACTCCATACTTGGTTGCAAGATTCTACAGAGCTCCAGAGATTAGTAAGTATAATTGGAAAATTAATAAATTAAAATGTTAGATTTTGACTAGTAGAATGTCTGTACATTACTGTATATGTAAGTTTCACCTTGTGTTATAAATACATCCATCTCAAATATTGCAGTCCTATTTGTACACAAGTTAACGATCTTTACATAACTTTATTTATAAATTTAAACTACTGAAAAAACATAATCTAGTTCTAAATGTTAACTGGTAGATAATATACTGTATATTAATTATGAAAAATTTCCATAAATACAGTCACCAAGACCAACTATACATAATCTATAGTGGTACAGTGTTTCAGTTGCAGGATCAAGGTAATTCAGCAGTGTGAAGTCATGCAGATTCATTTTGGAGTACGAAGGCAGACTTACGAACAAGATAATTTTAGTTTAACGAGTTTAATTATAGTTTTTAGAAATGGCAACCAGATGAAATTTTCCACATTAATGTTAGATCCTGAGTCACCTTTGTGTTATAAATTTACTGTACTGTACTTCTTTTATGGTAACCTATATACAGTACTGTACTAACCAATGGGCCCATAATAAAAAATGCCAGCATCCACTTATATTAGTAGGGTCACTTTTACAAGTCCCAGATTGAAATTTATATCTTGCCTTCATATGACTTGATATATAATTTTGCATAAAATGCATATTAACAGTGGTCCCTCGGTTAACGAACACAATTCATTCCACAGAGTCGTTCGTTAACTGAAAATTTTGTTAACCGATTCCATTGTTTCAATGGGATATTGGGTAATTGGTTCCAGCTCACAGAAAAGTACATACAAAGTAAAAAAAAAATGCAGTAAAATACACTTGCTTTGAGGTGTGTATGTAGAAGGTTCCTGGTTGATGATGATGATGGGAATTAGAAGTGGGGGTGGAGGAGAAGGGAGAAGAGAAGGAAGTGGGGATGGAGAAGAAATCACCTTTCAGGGGACCATTGCTTGATGCAGTAATTTCACCAATAAAATTTTAAGTTCACTAGGTGTACAGTATTTCAAGATTATTTTATTTAAATCAACATTGCACTGTGATATATATTATCAATATGTTAACTAAATTTCAGAATGACCAATAATTTAAATATAAAAATGCAAAAATATTCAAGACGCCAACAAAATCGATGTTCACTCCACTGTAAACAAAGCCACACTGACGCCTGGTGGGTGGGTCAAGCGGCTAATGGGCGCACAAAAAACTAGTTCCCTGTACTGTATATATTATCAGTATGTTAATTAAATTTTAAAATGACTAATAATTTTAATATAAAAAATGCACAAATATTAAAGAGCACAACTTTCTTGATATTTACTCCACTGGAAACGAATGTAAACATAGAACAGATTACTGAATTGGCAGACTAGCCCATCAGCTGATCAGCTGATGCTCACAACAAAACGTGTTTGTTGTAAGGGTTTCGTTAATCGAAGTTTTGTTCGTTAACTGAATTGAAGATCCTTATGGGAGGCAATTTGTTAACCGAAATTTCGATAATTGAACCGTTCATTAACCAAGGGACCACTGTACTTCATAATAATTTGAAGCAATATGAGGATGTAGAATATTATAGCTTCTACCTGTTTTCTTCTTGCACTCAAGGGCATTCCACAAATTACTGTATATCATAATTTCACTTGTACTGTTTCCATTTGTGTTCACATTATTATAATGATACACCCACTGTGACTTGGAACAGCACAATATTTCTGAGGTGTCATTTATATTTACAAATGTTGTAGTGATGACTGACTGACCAATCGCTAATGTCAGTGTAAGCATATTGATGTCAAATGAAAACTGCTTAGATCAGCATGATTACATGATACAATAGATTATAAAGTACGGCATGTTCCGTAAGTAATACAACCATATGCCTATTAATTTAAAAATGTTAATGCAACCTATAATTTTTTACTTCAGGTATAACAAAAAGTAATATGCTGTGTAAAGTTGAACAAAGAATATTAATAATGTATCAAGAAACATGGCTATTGTATGGGACATTTTTAAAGATAAAAAATCAATTGCAGGAGAATATAGAAATGTTTTGGATTAACTCATCCTAAAGCATTTTATCTGGAGCCTTTGTAAAAAAATTGCATTGAACACGGTTAAAGAACAGATATAATTAGTTTACACTTGATCAAGGTCAGAAGCAAATATCCAGATGAGTGTTTCAGTAAATCTCGCTAAACTGACTTAAAGTGAAATAAAGGAATTTTTCTATCATGGTTTCTGTCTCATTACAGTTTTGGGGATGACTTACGACTTTGGCATTGATCTTTGGTCGGCAGCATGCACCATTTATGAACTCTACACAGGAAAAATCATGTTCCCTGGAAAGACTAATAACCAGGTGAGTTGCAGGTTAAGTAAAATGATTTTATCTATCATGTCTTCATGAAGATATATAGTGGAATTTGCTAGATATAAAAGATATAAAAAAGATGAAAATGTATAATTTATCATCCAAAATGTAATATTTTTTTCATTATACCTGTAAAGGATGATTCAGATTGAAATGGGTTGAATGATTTTTCATTGATAAAACTAACCAATACTTCTATGCACTGTTGATCAACCGCTCTTTGATCTAAAATTTTATTTGCACATTTTAGAGTATTCTTTTAAAACAAAATTAATAACCTAATTTTATGTAGAATTTGGTATCAGTCCTAGATTATCTCCAGAGATTCCTTGTAAGATTGTGTTTTCACATACTTCACATTACAAACATAAGTCTCAGTATTCCAAGGTTTTAAGTATGTTTTTTATTTTTGCAGATGCTAAAACTCTTCATGGATTTGAAAGGAAAAATGCCAAATAAGGTGATCAGGAAAGGAGCTTTCAAAGATCAGCACTTCGATGCAGCTTGTAACTTTCTTTACAGAGATGTTGATAGAGTCACAGAAAGGGTAAGGACAGCATATGTTATACACATTCAATTGCTATACTGAAAAAGACATAAGGCCTATCAATTATATTTAGTTTCTTTTAATTTTGTTATCTTCATATGTTCTTATGTCATATTGCCTCTGAGAGGGATAATGACCTCAAATATTTTTAAATCTATACAGGCTAGTTATACAAAACAATGAGAGAATGTTACTCTAGACACGGACACAAAGGACACTTTGTAAGTTATTGACAGGAGGTTCTATTTCCCTGGTAGGTAAAGTACCTCAGAAGCTAAAAACTTTAAATTTTCATCATCGTTCACTTCTAATATTTATAAAATATTGAAACATAATTAATTGTGAGTGTAAACACATCTTTGTAACAATACAAACATTGAATGAGTGTACTCGTATTTTCAAACATGTCTCTGATTGTTTAGACATGTTTAATGGTTGCTGCCAGATCCTGTATACAGTATATGACTGTTTAAGAATAGTACAAGAGTTCTACCTACTTTTAACCTTTCAGGAGAAGGTTGTGGTAATGCCTACAATTAACCCTACAAGGAACCTACAACATGAATTACTTGGGGAAGGCAACCTACCAGAAGATCATGCCAGGAAGGTGGCTCAGCTGAAGGACCTGATGGAAAGGTGCCTCATGCTGGACCCAGTTAAGAGAGCCACAATAGACAATTGCTTAATGCACCAATTTATTAGGGAGAAAATGTGAATTTCGGGTGATGAAAGATTATGGTTGTGATGTGAAGTTTGGCTGAATTTGAAACTCATTGACTTGCTCATATTAGTTTACACAATACCTAAAGAAGACTCTTTTTAATTATGAATACTGTATGTGGAGCTTCATAAATTGTATTATGAATAATATTGTATTCTTTAGGATGTACAACAATCAAATTAGGTTTACTACAAAGATTTTTTGTTGACATCACTGATAATTAAGGTAAACAAAAATTTCTGACTTTAATTACTTCACTTGTTGAAGATTGTAAAACACGTGATATTTCTTATAATTGTCCTCATTCAACCCAGATAATGTAATAAGTCCTTACTGTTGCAGATGCAGAAAGTTAAGGTAAGCCTTTTCAGATTATGGAATTGTGTGTTGGAAATGTGTGCGTGAACCTTAGAACCTTATTCAGGTAAAACTTACAATAAGTAGGAAGTGGATTTTTCAAATCACCTTTCTCTTACACATCAAAGATAATTGATTCACATCATTTTCATTGAAGAAAGTTGGTCTTGAAACATTCTTAAATGTGGGTAAAAGTAGAATTGTTTTAAAAAGTTTGCTTGTGTATGGTATGGATTATGTTGTTTTATGTAGAATGTAATTTGTAATACAACTAAAACATGTTATTATTACAGAGTAAAAAGTGAAACATTTGATGTGTGTGTATGCTTGGACATTTTGGGTGAGCCAGTTAATGTCTTTGATTTTATTTTTATGCATCTTGAAGGGTTAGTTTATGGTCAAACTTCAGTTTAATTTGTCAATACAAGGGTCTGCATTTCATATTGTATTTAAAAGAGAGTAAATGAAGTATTTTTTTTTTAGTTAGAATAATAATTTTAATACGTATTTGTGTTATACACTTTTGAGGACTGCATTTTGCTGTAATTTGAGACAAGGGGATAACTAATAATAAAACCTAAAATTGTATTAAAGATTTTGTTTATTTTTATTTTTTGTTTTTTAAAAAACAAATTATGCATTGTTTTTTATATAACTATATGCAATGAAAAGGCATATATTGCTTATTTGTGTAAAATAAAGACAAAATATATGCACTATATACACTAAAAGTTTTAATGACTTCCTAAACATCAATACAGCACAGTACATATAAGGGATTGTCATACTGTTGGAGAAGGAGCTGGTAAATGGTAAAGATGGTAAGGGACTTATATATGGACATGAAAAACAGGGTAAACTGATGTTATGGACTATAAGTTACTGACGATCACATGAGTATGAAAAGGGTTGTGTGCTTCTCGTTAATAAATTAACACAAATGTTGCTTATGATGTGTTATCAAAACAAACTCTTTTTTGGCATTATTGTCATTGTTTTACATAAGATCTGAGATTTGATTGGCAATAGTACAAAATTAACCTGAGAAATCTTTACCATTAATGATAATTAAACCCTACCATGTTTTTCAAGAGAGTAGTGGACAAATGTTGGTGGGACTGGATAAGTAATTACAACAGTAATGCTATTGTTCTTTTTATACACCTATTACTGTAGCAATGAATGAACAGATGAATATCTGGATATGTGAGTGAAGATTTCTTATCCAGAATATTCCTAATGAACAAGAAAGGAAGATTCCTTTTTAAGTTCTGTAGATTATTCAGAATTTTTATAAACTGTTATCATAATTGAAATTATGAATTCAGTCTTACGAAGCTTCAAATGTTTGAGGTAATAATTAACGAGTTGGAGTTAGTGAGTGTTCAAGAAGCAGGTGAACAGGGCCTTATATGGGCCCTCATAGGAAAACTGAGAGCTTGTGACGTCACATTTTATATGCATGACGTTGATTAGCACGAAAGGTGACGCCTTCTCCTGCTTTAAGCCAGCAGTAAAGGAAGGTGGGCGGGGAAGATGTCGGGATTGGCACCAGTGTGTCTGCAATGGTTTTCCCACCAAAATGTGATGGAGAGACGTGACACTTAGACACCTGCTTATAAATGTATGAACTTACAAAATAGCTTGTAATTTTTTATTTTAACACTGGTGTAATCAAAAGTACTAACCAAACAAGTGACCTATATCAGTATACTGTATCAGTAATATCTAACCTACATGAGGACCTGTTGCTAGTATGGTTATAATAAGCCATACAGATCACTGTATTGTGATATTTAAAGCAGTGATTGATGACATAAGCAACCTGTTATTTGTGGACAAGCATAAATTGTGATAGGTAGAAATGTACAGTGATATACTAAATTTCTGGACTTGCACATAGATGAGATATTCAACTGCATGTGTACAGTATTGGTATGCCCTTTATATTAAGTATAACACAGCCAATATATGTGGTATACTCTTGTGTATTCACAACTTATAGATAGAAAAAGAGTCACTATAATTGAGGCATTGCGAAAGAGAATGATGAGCCCTCCATGGTTGAGAAAATCCGTTTTATATGGTACTGTACCAGAATTCCCTGGCCTTGCATTAGAGAGTGGTGTGGGTGATAAAAGCACTGCTCATCATTATCCTACTGAAATTCAACATTGTGAAGGGGTTCGAAATCCACCAATATAGACACTGACGAGCAGTCAATTCAGTGAGTCTCTACCAGGTGGTTTAATGTTTACAGCATCTCACGTGTTAGTGCCCTATGTGCTGCAATTAAGGTCCACTCATGCTTATTTTGTTTCCTCGTGACATGCCTTTGTCTCAAGGAGGGAGGAGCGCCTGGTGCTGTGTGGCGCTGGGCCTGGGGCAGCTTGGAGCTGTGCACGCAGGGGTGTTTGACAGCTGATAGGTGCTATATGTTAGTTTGGCATGGGATTGGTTACAACAGTTGGGGCACAATGCCATCTCAGCCAGCTCCTCAATTAGTCTGATGCCTGCAGCCCACCTTCAGAGCGCATTATATCCTGTGGGTAGTGTGTATTAAATGATGAGAAAATTCCGAATCGACTCACGGGTGTGGGCCTCGCCGTGCTTGGGTCAAGGCAGGAGTTATAGTCTGGGTATCAGTGTATGAAGTGGATCTACATTGGGACATAAGCAATTGTACGTGAGAACAGACATTGCTTCACTGACTCTAGACACTTGGTTGCCTCGTCTAGCTTGTTGTTTAAGTGTGTGAAACATTATTGTGATTACAGTATATTGCCACTGAGGCATTGGCTTACTACACATGGTAGAATCACATCTTTCTCTAAATGTAACCTAAATCATTTTTTTTTCAGTTGGTTGTACTGTATAACTATTTATAGCTTACTCTCTCTTAATGGCAATTTATTATCACCAGCTGCCATGGGACACTTTGCCTTTCTCTGATGTGAAGTACTGTACTGTATTCCACGAAGGAATTCCTACCTTCAAATACATCTCTGGCAGAATTTGTTCCAATTTTCATTAACCTTTGCAAATTCTCCCCTATTCTCTTCATTCTGAACAGTAAAGTTAGAGGGTAAAGTCTACCCATTTCCTCTTTTTCTTGGATAGTCCCAGTGTCAGCACCAGCTTTTCCTCATTTGAATCATCTCCACAATATGGAGCACAACTTGTCATCTTGACTGATGGAACATAACTGAGAGCATAGCTTGTGACAAGGTACATAGGAGGGCTTGAGATATGTGTCTTCTGGTGTGAGGACGACATATCATGTATAGCTAGCATAGCATGCATAGCTTCTGGTGTGAGACAGCCTTAATTCTATCTCTGCTAGGCCAACCCTGTTATTTCCCTGTAAATAACAAACAGTGTGGACATATTTGGGGATTATTTGTGTGTTTTCTTGTAGTTGCCACAGGTGTATACTGTACTACGCCATTTCCACAAAAACAAAGCTGGCTTTTGTACATTGGCTTTCATTTAGCCCAACAGGAGAGCTCTGCTGTTACATCATGTTCTAGCTATTTTACTCACCCCTGGTGTATTTGTACTTAATATTCATGAATAATGAGTTCCTCTGATAGTGATAATCAACCAGAACGGTCGGAGGAATGTGGAGCAAAGAGAAAAAGGAACAGAGGTGAGGTGTGCAGTACAGTACAGTACATTAGTTTCCAATTTAAACAGTCTGTTACTGTCCATGTCGTAGGGTCTGCATGTGCTTGGGCTGCTTCAAAATTGCAGGCAATGTTATTTTTGATGGGTTTTAGGCTACAGGCCTCAACCAGCAAAAAGCCTAACTGTCTAAGCTTGTAAATTCAAATATATACGGTATATAATGTGAAATGCAGCTGCATCATGGACAGGCCTAGGACACTGCTTCACAAGTGGACGAGCATCAGCAATCATTGTAAATGTTAGTAGTAGTAGTAGTAGTAGTAGTAGTGATTTTTTATAACTAAACTTACATCAGTGCGACCATAGAAATAGTGATTATTCCTGCCATAGATATACAGTGAACCCTCACTTTACGCGGTTAATTCAACCCACGGCGGCCCGCGTTAAGTGAGAAACGCGTAAAGTGAACAACATAACATATGGGATTAATTGAAATAGAGACCGGGCCGACCCCCAAACTCCACTTTTTCCCAACACAATATGTACGTTTTACTAAAAATAACATCTTAACTTTATGATGGTATTCACCCACACATAATATAGAAGGGAACAGTCAATAAGAGAAGAATAAACTGAAGGTTAGGTTAGAAAAAAACAAGGTTGGGGTTAACACTTACGTTAGTAGAAGAGATGGGTCGGCGTAGGGGAATGGAGGCTGGTTCCGAGGCAGAGGGCAGGCTACTGGCCCTCAGGTGAGTCTTCATCGGTGTCATCCACACTTACTAGTGCCTCCCTGATAAATCCCTCAAAGTCATCATCACTGTCTCTGCCTCTGTCACTATCACTGGCTTGGGCTGGCTGTGGTGGGTTGCGGGCGAAGAACTCTGTTATGCTTTGCTGACGGCTGGTGTTTATGTTGTCGTGATAAACCTTGAAGTAGGGCTCCATAGTCTGCAACAACTAGGTAGTGAAGATTTCATACCTGTTTGCGTCAGGGTCGTCGGAAAGGAGGAGCTTGACTTTCTCAATACACTCGATGGCACCCCTAACATTACTATGGGATAAGCGGCGTTCTTCTTGGGATGACGCACCACCTGCCTCTTCACTGACGTCATCATCATCATCTACCATTTCGTCGGTAGTCACATCACGATCCCTTATCACCTCCAGGATGTCGTCGTTGGTGGTCTCGGAGAAGCCTGCAACTGTAACACTCTGCGCAGCTTCTCTGGCAAGGTCCACTGCTACTGCAACAGTCTGAACCTCACAAGTCACAGATTTACTCTGCCTAACACCCGGAATGCCTTGCAACACATGTCTCCATGCGTGACGAACAGTTGCTACAGACAGCTGATCCCATGCCTCCACGAAGAAGTCCACAGCTTTCTTGACGTTGAATGTTCTCCAGAATTGTTTTAAAAGTACTTCTTGCTCTGCCAACTGTTGATTCTCGTCGTCTTCGCTCTTGCTATTGGTGTTGGTGTCACTTAGGTTACGCAACTCTTCCTTGGTGTTGGTGTAGTCGTTCAGGAGGTTGAATTTTTTAGCAAAGAATGCAGCTTTTACATTACAGATCAATTCTTGGTCCATGGGCTGTAATATAGACGTAGTGTTGGGAGGAAGGAAGACCACTTTTACGTTGGGGTGACGATCTAACAGTAGGGGCGAGTGTCCTGGTGCGTTGTCCAGCAGCAACAAAATCTTGAATGGCACATTCTGTTGCTCACAGAATTTCTTCGCATCGGGAACGAAACAGTCATCAAACCAGGAGAGGGGCAGTGTAGAGAACATCCACGCCTTATGGGCGGTCAGCCAGTGGACATTTAGCTTGGTCATGTCCATGCTCTTGTAGGCGTGCGGCTTGCGTGCTGTGTGGATCACCGATAACTTGAGCTTACAGGTGCCGGAGGCATTGGTGGTAAACAGGACGGTGATGCGCTCCTTCTGCAACTTCCGGCCCCGACACTTGCTGGCATTCTTCACAACGAAGGTCTTGGAAGGTAGCTTTTTCCAAAAAAGACCAGATTCGTCCATGTTAAACACCTGGTCGTCGGTGTACTGTCCTTCCTCCATAATCTCACGACGGAGGAAATTCCCT